CAGATCGTACCCAGTCTCCCCTATTTTACATTTGTATCAAACATGCGAATGTATGATAGTGCTTTTGTATCACAAAGTTCATAAATTATTCTTTTGAAATAATCTTAAATCATACTCGTAATTTACACGATTAATTATTTTGTTGCAATTAAAATTATTCTAATAATTTACTTAATAAAGTTTTTAAAAATGTCAAACTTTATTAGATGAATATAATAAATATCAAAATAGACATATTTCAATGTTAGTTACGAATTAGTGTTAGCAATTTCTCATTACACAAATGTATACAATCCTTATAAATGAATACAAATTAATTAGTACGAGCTCCAAAAATTGAGTTAAATATAACTTGATTCTCATTGTGAATATAAACCAAATCGTAAATTTTTTTTAATAAATATTTGCATTTTATGTACATTTATTAAAACAATGTCTAAATATTAAATAGAGCTGAAAATGTGAGCAAGACTGTTGGCAAATTTTAGACTCTGTATTTGAATCAAAATTTATTTTTGATCAAGTATTGAATTGTTTAACGAAGTTCGCATTTTAAAAGCATTAATATCAGTTATTTATGAAATAACTGCTTAATGGTCAGTGAAATGATATCAATCGGTCCAGTTCAGCGAGATGGAAGCATAAATTCGCTCACTGATTGGCGTAACGATCAAATCATTGGATACTGGCATAATATATATATATATATATATATATATATATATATATATATATATATATATATATATGTGTGTATTGATACGTATGTGTGGGATATTTCTGGTCGTTGTCATAATTCAATGTGCATCAAATAATATGTGTGTGCGTGTGCATTGCGTGATGAATATCGCATCAAAACATGACACGTTTGATTGCCATGCAGAAATTTACGACGTGTGTCCAGATATTCAAAACTAAATATTGATTACTAATTTATCATAGCATAAATTCAAGTGGATATATCTAACTCAATGACTCATTCAGTGAATCGATCGTTTATCAGGTTTTCTGGGCAATTATAAAAAAGTAATTGAAAATGCAATTGAGTGTGGATGAAATTTTAATCCTAGTGGGATCATAGTCCTTCTACTTATCCGCCTTCACTATTTTTTATTTTAATCTATTCGTATAACATTTGATTTATTTGGGTTTCAGAAAGGAACCCAACAGTTGATCGATTAAGTTGGCAACTAAATCAGTGCGGTTTTCAGGTATATGGTTTCAACTAAATTTTTTGGATCGCTAACACAATCCATATGTAAAATCCTTTTGTTGATCAATAATAGTGAATCATAGCTTTTTGATCGATTGCGTAGTTTTCGTTTGGCGTTCGTTGCAATTTGGTGAACCAAATCGAAAATTTTTGTCATAATATTTTGCGCGTTTATCTCTGTAAAGATAAAAAGGCATTTAAGCTCACAAAGTTATGAGCTGTTTATGGCGAATTAAAGCCTTGCTTCTAGTGATATTTTACTCGCCGATAAAAAATGCTTCGGACGTCCAATTGATGATGATTACAAAGGATTTTACTACTTTTATCTAGTACTCTGATCATCCTATTGAGTTATAAATTCTGAAGTTTATAATGATCAACTAACAAAAACAATTAACGCAGTCGAAATAAAGCGACCTAAATTCTCTGAAAGAAGCTGTCCGAGGGTATAAAAAATATCTTTACCGTTTACTTTAATAATCAGATATGGCAAATCCATCCTAGGATTAACTATTAGTACATTTGCAAAATTATTAAGCATGAACCTGATGCTGCTGTACTGTACGAATATAATTTTCGACTTATTCTAGTACTGTTGTATCCCCTGCAAATAAATGTTGTTTAATAATAGTAAGTTTAATATCTTTAGGGAACTCGTACATTGGACGATATCCAATGAGAATGTAATAATTATAAACAAGTGTGGCATATAAGTCCGCATATAAGCCTGCATCCTCGCTCGGTACATACATAAAACTTTTCCTGTGCAATGCGAATAGACTTTTGGTCGGTTTATTTTAGATC